ATCATGTCTACATTCATATCTCCCCTTACACCTTTCATATCCTTTATTATTTTTAATTAAATAAATATATATATATAATACACATATATTTATATACATACATATACATACATACATACACGCATACATATAAATATAAAAAATATCAATTGTATCGAGAATATAACTTTTTTGTGTTACACGCAGGATTTTGACTATTACTATATATTACTATTATTACTATTTAATGTAATATTTTCTCTGCTAGATCATATAAAAATTTTCTTCGATGCAAGGTATTTATTTACTTGATACTAATAACTGAATGTAAAGGCTGAAAAGAATGAATGTATCCATTTCTTAACAGCTCATGTAAATTTTTTCCTAAAAAGGCGCTACTGATGCTACAGAAAAAATTGTTGATAATAGTAGTGATGGTACATCATCAACAATTCAACAGTTACTGAATTCTTCTCTACCTTTAAACCCGAAGCAAGTTCCTGGATCAATATATTCAGCAGTATATTCTGGAATAACAGTTTATGAGTATTTTGTCAAAGATGTCGTTATTATGCGTAGATGTCCGGATTCTTATTTGAATGCAACGCAAATTCTAAAAGTAGCAGGTATGGATAAGAGTAAACGTGCAAAAATCATCGAGAAAGAAATATTAACAGGTATTCATGAAAAAGTACAAGGAGGTTATGGAAAGTATCAAGGAACTTGGTAAGAATCATTAGTGGTAATAATTAGTTGAAATTATATGATTATTGCACATTTACATACATAATAATTTTATCATCATCATCATATGTATTGATTTTTTAGGATTCCTTTTGAAAGAGGTAAAGAGCTTGCTACAAAATATGGTGTGCTTGAAATTTTGCGTCCTCTTTTTGAATACAAACCACCAAAATACGATATTTCTTATCTATCATCTCCACACACCCCAAATAAAACTAATGAACGTTCCAACAATGGCAATAAAATTAGTATTCTGAGTACTAATAATAGTATTAATAGTAATGTTGGGAATAATGATAATGATGATGACGATGAAGATGAAGATTTGTCAGCTCTAACGTGTTCAGAACCTGCTAGTGAATCAGCAACGGTAACCAATTCACCACCACCTGAAATCGATGAGGGTGAACGTCTCAAGAATATTTTAATGACAATATTTTTGAATGAAGAGCCAGAATCAATACCAGACTTGTTGGTTTCTCAAAATTCATCTGAACCAGATATAAACATGGTGATTGATAGTCATGGGAATTCTGCAATACATTGGGCTGCATGTTTAGGAAGAGTAAATATTTTGGAAATTTTGTTGAATAGAGGTGCTAATTTACAACAAGTAAATTATGATGAGGAGACCGCTTTGACCAGATCTGTGTTTGTGACAAATAATTGTGATTCTCGGTCATTTCCACAAGTGGTAAAGCTACTTCACGACACAATCCCAATTACTGATAAAAATAATCGGTCAGTGTTTCATCATATTGCAATGTCTTCAGGTGTTAGAGGGCATGCAGCAGCATCAAAATATTATATGGATTGTTTGGCAGAATGGTTTCAATCAAACGTTTGCGGGTTTCTCAATACTATTCTGGATATTCAAGACAAAAATGGTGATACCGCATTGTGTATTGCTGCAAGAGTAGGAGATAATGAGTTGGTTGAGAAGTTGATTAAGATGGGTGCCAATGTTGAAATTCAAAATAAGCTTGGGTTGAAGCCTTCTGATTTTGATTTTCATACATTAAACAATGATGATCATGAAGAAGAAGTTCATGTATGTATATCTTTACGAATCTATATATGGGGGGAGGGGAGTTTACGTATATAGATGTATATATATATATATTTATTTAATTAAAAATAATAAAGGATATGAAAGGTGTAAGGGGAGATATGAATGTAGACATGATTCAAGAAAATGTATCGGATTTCTTTTCTCAATCAATTATACCATTTACTAATGATCATAGAAAATCTAAAGAAGTTGTTTCAGGTAAAAAAAATAAAAAAAGGTTATTGGAAGTTTATTATTTATTTTTATAATTTAATTTCATAAATGATCTAATTATAATTTTTTTAGCATTACAAACACTCGTGGAAGATGCAGAGAATGAATGGGTAGTACAACTTAAAGTCAAAGAAGATGAATTGTTTAATGTTCAAAGTAAATTTAATGATTTGACAAGACAACTTGTTGATTTGAAGCGATCATTAAAATATTATCGCCAAAATGAAAAGGAATATAATAATATAGATGAATATTTAAAGTTTCTTGAGCAAGTACTTGTTGAAGTAGAAAAAGAGGAAAATGATGTTAATGAATACTCTATTCATAGGAAATGTAAAATAAACGATGATGACAATGCATTATTAAAGAAACCTGTGGTGGATAACAAAAGTAGCGCTAGTAATAATAATAACAACAACAACAACAATAACAATAATAGCTACAATAATAATAATATCAATATCGATATCAATATCAATAATAGTAACAACAACAACAACAATAATTCTTTGTTAAAAACGACAACTTCTTCTACAGCATCAGCATTAGCATCAATGTCATCAAATCAACAAAATAACATTTACATTAATAGTTTAATAAATATTGCATCATTACCACCACAAATATTATCACAACAAAAGCAACAACTTTTGCATCAACCACGACCAATAAATTCACAATCACTATCACATCTACATACACATCTAAGAATAAAAAATATTCTAAATAATAGTAATGAATCGGTTGAATCTGCCACCACCACCACCACAGCAATTACTAATAATAATAACGACATAGATTCACCACCATCATTATCATTATCATCATTAATGAATAGGGCTACATTGAATGATGTACTGGCATCTGTTCCCACAACACTATCACTGCTACCAAAATCTTCGTCAAACACAAGATCATTAACATTATCATCAACAGAGCTAGCTCAACATAAAATCATTGACATGCCGTCAACATCAATTACACCACCAATAATTGCACCAACAACATCAACAAAATCATCAATAATAAACAATTCAAACCGGGCAGTAATGAATTCGTCAGAAATGTTTGTCGATGTTGAAATGGCTACTAATAGTGGTGATGGTGAAAGTAAAATGTCTGAAAAAGATTTAAAAATACTTCAAGCTCAATTATCAGCATATCAATTAGATAAGGATTTACTTCAACGTGAAATTGAGAGATTACAAGAGAAGTCATTAAATGCAGAATTACAATATAAACAAATTATTTCTACTTGTTGTAAGATTGATCTTGATAAAGTGGATGATCTTGTGGAAACGATATTAGAATTTGATAATGATCTTGAGGATGAGTTTAGTTTAGGAAGAATAGGAGAAATATTAGGTAGATTGGATAAGGAGGCTGTGCAATTGTAAAGCATAGCGAGTGAGAAGGAACGAGTTGAAAATTTTTCCTTTTTAGTAGACATTTAATATTTTTTAATAATAATAATATTTATTTTGTTAATTAGTGTTTTTGATGTAAATGTAAATTCTTTTTATAATCAAATATGACATAGAGAGAATTGGAAAATGTTAAATTCCACACATTCAGTTGTCAAATCCTTAATTATTATATGATAGATAGAATTTAATTTAACAGATTCATTTCAAAAAAACTCCCAATTGACCTTTATATTTGTTTTCAAAGAAATATTTATATTTATATATAATTCTATGTAATTATTTTATTTATTTATTTTGATTTCTATAAAAAAAAAGAGAAGCTTTTGTATATATGTGTGTATTTATAAAGAAAAAGAAAAAAGTTATAAACAAAAATAATAATAATTGTAAAAAATTTACATTGATTGAAAAGTTTTATCTATTATTAATTATTATTATTAAATGCAAAAAATTTTTTTGTGATTATATGTAAATGTGCATGTGTATTTAAGAATGATGTGAGTGTTTTTGTTGAGTGTATATAACGTATATATGTATATATATATATATATATATATATATATATGTATGCATTATGTGTATGTGTATGTGTATTTGAATGTATATATAATAATATGTGTAATATATGCGGATATATGCAATAATTAATCTATCTATTATCTATTTATTTATTTTGAAGGAGATGTGATATTTAATGATGAATGAATTAGATGCTGATTATGAAGATTATTGATAACATTAAATTTATTATTATTTTTATTATTTTTATGATGATGTTTATGGTGTTGGTGATGATAATGACAATTATGATGCTTGTGATGATGTAGGTGATGTGTAGTAGACTTTCGACGAACATTAGATTTTTTGCTTTTATCAACAAGATCATCGTCAAGATCACAACAACCATAATCGTTAACACAACCGGTATTATTCATATTACTAATACTACCAGTAATGTTAGACGATAATGATGAAGGCGTCGATGTTGACATTAATAACGCATTACTACTATAAGATCTACCAGACAAGGTACGTCTCATATTTCCACTATTATTGTTAATAACATTATTATCATGAAGATTATGACGATTTTTTGTCACATAAGAAGTATGCGGGGTTGACATTCGACATAATTTTTCCTGGATGTCATCTGGTATAATAAGTAGACCAGCAGCCAAACTTACACGACGTTGTTGACCTATAATTGATGGTGACGGTGATAATGATAGTGATGGCTTTGAAGGTGATGGAATGGTAATGGACATTGTTGGAATTTTATTAGGAGTAATGGAGATGTCAGATAATGGTTTTGTTGACGATATTGGCGATTTTGTTTTTAAATCTGATGCTGATGATGGCGGTGATGATTTTGAAGAGGGACTTAATTGTGGATCATTCTCATTAACATTATCGACATAATTGGCCTTGTTTTGGTTATTATTCATTTCATCCCAACAGACACGATTTTCTGCCAAAGTGTCTAGAAAAATTTTAGCTTGATTTAGGAATAAAGCAAATGCTTCGAAATATGGTTTTACAACATAATCACCAAAACCGAGGCTTATTTGTGACTGATGAGTTTGTTCTCTGTCCATATTTGGAGATACAGGCAGATTTTTTAGTTTTTCCAAGTCACCTTGTTTAAAAAATTCCTCAACAACACAATCAGACCAACATTTAGATATTTCCCATGGACGTACAGTATTGCTCAGATCAGCAGCATGAAGTAAAACCTTTAATAAAATCAAACGTCGATCTTTATCCAACAGTGTTGGTGTTGTTGGAAATAGTCTTGAAGGCGATGTAGTAGATGTTGGAGAAGATTCGGGTGAGGTGAAAGTGGAGGAACTCGACGAATAACAACATCTGCTGTCAATGCCGCTGCTACTACTATTATTATCCATTTCTTCGCCACAAGAATCGCTAGAAGAACACGAAGAAGAACAATAGATGTCTGTAGTAGAAGAAGATGACGACGATTGAATAATATTATGTAAATCTTCTAATAGAGTATAATGATGCTTCATATCAGTTGCCAAAATTATTTCCTGTATTAAAACTTTCAAAGTTGAATCAATTATTTGTGGATCCATTCCTTGGAATTCATTGTTATGATTATTATTGTTGTGCAAATTACGAAATAATTTATGTTTTGACAATAATTCCATTGTCAATGTGCAAGAATAGTTTTCTAATACAGATTCGTTTTTATATTTGAGTGCCAAAGGTGTTCTTGCATTAACCTGGTAAACATTATTTAAACCAGGATGACCTACATCATGACACAAACCAGCTATCATCAAACAAATTGAATCCAAGGAAGTCAAATATTTTGCAGCACCTAAATCATTCAACATGTAGTATAACACAGCCACAACATCCACTGCATGATAGAATGAATGATAGTCGGTGGTAAAGTAACCCTTTTCAACATCAATAATAAAATCCAACATTTCAGACTCTTGTATTTGTAAACAACCACTCAAATCCAATCTCACCATCATACCCAACAATATACCATACAATTCTGGTATTGACCAACGCCATACATTAAAGTACATTCCAGTGTCAAAAGACAATTTATTGTCCAAAAATTTCAACATTGTCTACAATAAGCGAAGAGAGAAGAAATAAAAGAATTAGTATTGCGTTATAATAATCGTTGTACGAAATGTTTGGGAAATAAAAAAAGAAAAAGAGACTTACACTTTCGCATGTTATTAACTCGTCAGAGGGTAATGAGTTATATTTTAATAAAAGCATTTTTTTAATTAATAAATATTGTAAATATTAAAGATTTTTTATTTATCTATAAATATATTCTATTATATATAATCTATAGAAAGAAAAAAAAACAATAAATTTTTGAAAATTTTAAAAAAATTCTTGTTTATATATATAAGAATTTTTTGGCGTAATTATACACAAATGTAACGTGGTTCTTAAATATATTAATTAGAGTTTTATTTTTGCTCCTGAATTTTAAAAAATTTCTCGGTTTTTTAATAAGCAAAAAATTTATCTATGAAGTAATAAATGTGTATAAATAGAAGGCAGAAGAAAAGAATACGCTTATTATTAATAACATTAAATCGGGTAAACAAGGATCTAAATTTGGCACTAGTGTAATGTTAATTTTTGGTGTAATAAAACATTAATATTGTGATGGTAAAGGGAGAAATAACAATGATTTTTTAATATGGTATTTGTGAATGAATAAATAAAAAGAATGGATATTTACGAGATAAAGAATTTGAATTTGACTATTTAGCATCAATGAGAGATAATAACAATCAGGATTGATTTTCCAGCCATATTTATTTATCAAATGATGTTTTCAAGTTGCATTCATCTCAAAGTAAAAAAGATTTAGATTATGTATGCATTAAAATATAATTGTGACATTTTTTTTAAAGAAACTTGTTTAATTCAAGGTTTGAGGATTAACAACAAATTTGGTGGAATCAAAAATTCTAATTTATTATGCATGCATGCGTGTGTGTGCGTCATGTGTATTATCATCATCTCTATTATATGCAAGAGAGAAAAAAAGTACGGAATGCGTGTGAATGGATGGGTGAAGAAAGATTGAATTGTTGAAGAAAAAAAAACCTAATTTAAAAGAATAGTAAAATATAAAGATTGTTTTTTTATTGTTTTCTAATTGCACTAAAGCAGGAAAAAATATCTATTGTTGCACAATTATTTTCTTTTTTAGTAAAAATATTTCTTTACCAAATTAATTTCACAAATTCATATAAAAAACTAAATCACAAAACAATCTTTAAACAACATGGTGTTAAATGATGTTAACGAAAATTTTCCTCATGGTTTCTTTTTTTATCTTTCTCTCTCCACAGTTTGTTTTTTAATACAAGATAAGAAATACAGTTGGCTCTGGATATAGTGAACCTATTATATAGTGAATTGTACTATATAATGAAGTTAGAAAAATTCCAATTTCATTATATACAAATTGCTCTTGATATAATGAATTTTAATATAAACTCTCTATATAAGCATATAATGAAGTTTGTCTTGATCCGTCAATAGTAAAATAAATCTCCATATAATGAAGAAATTATTAAAATATGTCGATGATTCCTTTTAAAGGAAATAGTATTACTAGTAATAGTAATGATTCAAAAAATCATCATGTAAAAAATCAACTAAATAAAAACTATTCATACAATATTTTCAGTCTAAAATTACCTATACAATAATGATTTAAAATTACCATCATGTAAAAAATTACTCACATAAATAATTACTAATAAAAAAGATCAATGATCGATTTTGTCACATGTGATAAAACGAATGTCCACTATGCTACTAGAAAGATGGTTCATATAATTTATTTCATTAATGTATTTTTTTTATTTGAATAATAAACATTAATTCTTGATACGTGAAACAACTGCAATAATTTCATAATAGAATTTGGCGCAAATTTTCGCAGATCACTAATTGAAATTTTCCGGAACCCATACTTCATTCCTAAAAAACTACTATTTATACGAA